TGTTCAATGAAATAGAGAAACCCTTTATTCTTTAATGATTTCAGTATATACAACACGAGTGCTGGTGTTTGTGCAATTTCTGCCAATTTTGTTTAAGAGTTAATATAAGCACTAATATTATTACCTAATTTACAGGAAATTTGGACAATATGTCGAATATTCAAGAGGAACGTATCATTCAAGAAGTACACACAAGGATGGAAGCAGCAAGCACCAAAACAAACAGTGGCTACCGACTCAAGCTCACAAACAAGCAGTTTCGATTCCGATGCAAGAGACGAGTACAAATTCGTAGGATATGAGAATAATCAACAGAACTTATACTTTGAAGAGAATAATCCATTATTTGGAGGGCAGTGGAGCCTTAATACATCTCAGACACCCACTGCCACGTCATTGCACCCGAGCATCGTGCCAAGCCCTAACACGAACGAGTTCTTGAAGGAAGGGAATTGGGATGAGCTTGGAAGGATCATGGAGTTCTATATGATGGATCAAAGTGCTACTCAAGAGTGTGTATATTATTAGAGATGATGATGGATATGTTGAGCTTGGTAAAATTGTGTTTTGCCCCTCTTCTTTGATTCCTAATTTGCTTTAGTCCCCATGTATGTGGGATACAGAGAAAAAAATCAGTGCCAAGGGGCTAAGTGATATTTTACATTATAAATTTTGCTCCCGTGTAAGTACTAATAAGGTCATGTTAAGGATTAGAATGCTTTGCTTTGGAATTGGTACTTGTATTTGTGGAGGCACGTTAGTTTGTACTGACAGTATAGTATCTATTATATGAAATAATTTGATATCCGAGTGGTTTCAAATATGTTTGTATTGACTTAGAGTTGGTTGATGTTTTCGTACGGGTACATGAATTCAATTGCATGCATAGTTGTTGATGTATGTTTTATGGAGACGTGCTTAACTTATGTGTTATTTGAGTATTTGTAACATATTTCTCCCCTTGAGTTCATATGCCTATCAGCGTTCCGTGTGTTTAACAGCTAGAATTAGCTTGCATACGGGAATAAATATGAGAAAATAAAAAAAAAAACTTTTTCCATTAAAATGTCTGAACCAAATTAGTCAGGTTCTGTTGAGTACTCAAATAAGGGGCTGTTTGGTTGTATGTTTTTACCATGTAAAAGGATGGAAAGTGTAAAAAAGTGGGTCTTAATGTCAGTTTTCATCACTTTACATTGTTTGTTTAAATTCTCTTTTACATGAAAAGCTTACCCCTTTTGATGAGGTGTAGCCGAAAGCAAAATCACCAAAATTAGGGGTTGTTTGGTTGTTGCTGGTAAAGTTGTATATTTATGACACAACTTGGAAAGTTGTTGTCCACCTCATCAATTTCACTTTTATATTTTTCTTTGTTTGTTATTTAATTTCATTAGAATCATAAATTGCTTGTTTGGTTTGCAAAAGTAACTTTAATTATTTGTTTGAAAAGTGTAAAAAATGGTCCCTACTCAAATGATCATATTGGTTGGAATTATTTTTTATTATTTTTTCCTGACTTCAATGTCAGCTTTCTCCTAAAATCATGTCTTTTTGTGAAATCACTTTACAAGCCACATCAGCATATGAAATCACTTTATACTATTTTCACAACTATAAACAAACAACTGAAAGTGATGAAAGCTGACATTGGGACGCATTTTTTACACTTTTCATCCTTTTACATGGTAAAAACATACAACCAAACAGCCCCTTAGGAGTGGTTTTGTTGGAAAGATGACACAATATCATAAATTTGTCCAAAAAATAATAAAAAAGTCAAAACCTTGTAGAAAGTGGTGAGGTGGATAACCACTTTCCATTTTGTGTCATAAATACTCTAGTTTACATTATACTATCCAAACAATGTAATAATACTATTATTTTAGGATTCACAAAGATTCATAACCAAACAATATAAACACTCGCATGGAAAGTGGTGAGGTGGATAACCACTTTCTATTTTGTGTCATAAATACTCTAGTTTCCTAAAGGCATCCAAACAGCCCCTAAGTATATTCAGTTGCATACGTGTTTTTAGATCACAAATTGGAAAAGGTTTTTTGGACAAGGAGCTGGTTTTTGTTGCCCAAAAGTAGAGCATAATTAAACAGAAAACGCAATACAGACACGTGTCCATAAAGTTTGCTCTTTAATAAATACTAGTTTGAGGCCCGTGCGATGCACGAATTTGTTTAATATACAAAAATTGATGTAGCAAAAGAATGCAAAATAAAACAGTAATAATATATAAGTAGTTAGAAATGAAACAACCTAAGTTGCATATATAGTTTGGAAAATTAGAAAGTTTAGAAAACTTGAATCAGTTTAAGATCATATATAGTTTAAAAATGTAAATGTGTAAAAACGGTATCCAGAAATATGGTGGGAGTTATTTATAAGGTAGAAAAAAATTCAAAATTAAAGTAAAATATCAAAAAAGTACAAAAAATGGGTAAACTTAAAAAAAATGAAAAAATGAAAGGTTTGGAAAAATGTAAACATGGGAAAATAATATTTGAACATTTTGTGCGAGTCATATCAATATTTAAATCGTTGATAACTTTCCAAAGAAATTGGTAAAATAAAAGTGAAATGTCAAAAAACAAAGAAAATATAATACCTATCATATAAGGGGTGTATGACATCCACCTAACGAAAATAAAAGACAATGTAATACCTAAATCAAATAAAGTCAGTGTAAGAAAATTGTATTTGATTGTAATTTAAGAACATCATCAAACCAGAATACGGCATAAGAAGTACTCAATTAGTTAAATAAAATGCAACTTTCACATACTCTATATAAACATAGAAGTACTCAATTAGTTAAATAAAATGCAACTTTCACATACTCTATATAAACATAAGAAAGAACAAAATATTGAAGTGAAATGCATTGCCATTGGAGAAAAATAACAAAACATAATATAAGAGAAATACATTCTAGTAAGATTATATTGAGTTCATCACTTACCAATAGTAAAGATAAACAAAGAAACAAGCAGATCTGAAACAGAAAAATATAATTTTATAGAAAGAAAAGAAAATTACACTTGTATAGGCAGAAAAATCTTTAATTCTATATTTACCTTTTGTATTCATTGTTTTCCTTTTGTTAATGAAAGAGTGAGCAATCTACCAATCTGTAGAAAAAAAATAAAAAAAGTCCAAAACAACAGTAGAAAAAAATAACAACCTAAGATAGGATGAGCTATTTTCATGGAAGAATTCAAATCTGTCAAATTAGCATCAACAATGTCAAATTAGAGTGCATCAAGTATGCCAAATTTCAGCCAAAAGCAACATGTTAGCTTGCATTTACTGTCATATTTTGGCCATTTAATTTTACAAACATTTAATGTACAACCTTACATTTCTTCACCTAACAGATTTAAGTCTTGTGCATCAAAGCGTTCAATCCAACAACAACGTTCAAAACTCCGAATCTTTATCTTGCAAACAACAATAAAAACACAAACTCAAATCATCATTTATTGATATTCATACTTAAATAAACAAATAACTAAAAAAAGTACCTCATAAAATGACAAAGAAAGAAAATACAAAAGCATCCAATAACTTATCAGCCCATTACAATCAATTACTCTCTCAATTTTAACACCTCCATTCATTTGACATCAAGTGAACAAGCTAAAATATGCTTTTATATGTGAGCAAAATAAGGAATATAAGATCTCTAGTGCAAATATGAAAGATGAAGCAGACTTTGAATGTCTACCTACACTAATGGAAGTACCAGGTCTTGCTAGTATAAATTACAGAAAAACTTCTTAGGGATCCTGTAGTGTCGTGACCAAGCTCTATTAGACGCACAAATTTTTTTCAATGAAGCAATATTTATATTATTTCTGACAACACTATTAAAATACGAAAACTAAAAGCCTTTTTTTAACAGCAACTAAACAATACTACAGCTGAAATAAAATTAAATAGGTATCTTTCAGTTAGACTGATACGTCAAACCATACTCAGAATCAAGTCCAATAATCCGCCTCCTTTCCCAAGTCCAGTACCTAATACTTCTCAAGGAGCTGCCACTGAATGTTACATAATCATCATCGTGTTCCTACAAAGTAGTTATCAATTTTATCAAATCTATACTTTAAAACATCCATATACGACAGAGAACTTTCAATAAGATACATGAATTGAAAAATAAAATTTGAGTTTGTCAAATATGCACACAAGCATGCACCACTACATACACATATATTATAGGACACGTCCAGAGAGCTAACAAATTTACCCAAAACTTAAAATCACATTAGAATAATCTCATGCTATGAATTAGCCAAATAATAACTACTGAATTTTATGTTCTCAAGCATATAGTGTCTTATAACCTTACAATTCGAAACATTGGTTCAAAAATTCGAGGAAGATTCTTAATATTACTAATTTCATACAATTCGAAACATTGGTTCAAAAATTCGAGGAAGATTCTTAATATTACTAATTTCATAATACTTGATATAATGTTACAATCAAAATCCGGACAACCTTAAAAAATATGTATGTAAATGTAGTAATATTTCATTCAGAAACCAAAAAATTATATTATTTTAAATGCAATTTTATATCTAATGATATATTATCCGTCATTGAAAAATTCCCAAATGTTAACTACAACTAAATGTCTAAGGAAAAATCTCTTGAAATTCAAATAATCTGCAAAACATATGTCTTGAAGAAGTCAAAATGAAAAGAAGAGGATGACAGAAATGATAGGAAAACCCAAACCAGAAACTAAATTTTAATAAATAATCATGGTCATATGCTTCAATCCAGAGTGTATATGTATGACTAATTCTGAAAACACGTCACCATGAAAATAAGCATGAATCAGCAATGTATATATGCCTAAATCGAGCAATGGAAGAGTTCATATTGTGCGACAACATTATCACATACTCTGCTTTTTATTCCTACTTATCCTAACATTTCATAAATTTATTGCAAACTGCAAGTATTATGAAATTAGTATACAAATAGTGTAACAAAGAAACTCACACTCACAGTAAACTAGAATTTCGCATCAAATGTAACTACATTTTTTTTCCTATCAACACATTTAAACTTATCAATAGATAAGCAAAAACATTTATTGGTAAATATAATTAGAAAAGCTTAATGTCCACATTTAAGGAATTCATACATTTTTTGGATTTTGTTAACGTCCAAAGTTTTTTTGGAAAATAACCTAAAATTCAAATGTCCAAGAAAATATAAATCACAAAAGTGAGAACTTCAAAACTGCTAAAATAAGTAAATACATCTAAGAAATTATATGCTTACATACACTGACTGCATCCCCACTGGTTGCATCATATACTGTGACATCTCTCAATCCTACATAAATCTGAATCACAAACGGTAAGCTCAAATCCTAGAAATTCCAACAAAATGTTAAGAATTTCATGAAGAATAATGCAACGAATTCCTAGTCATACATAATTACTAAGCAAGTACCCAATGTTGAAAATCTGATATTTAAATCCACAGTGGAAAAAACAGTCCAAATTAGCAAAAATTAAAATAATAAATTGAGCCTTTAAACTTCTGCCATTACCTAATAAAAAAATAGAGCAGGATTGGTCGGTGGTATAGAGAAGTCGGAGGGTGCCACTGCTATTGATGCTCCTACCTACACTGCCACTGAGGACCGTGAATCAGGTTCTCTCCAGCCTCCAGGTTTCGAGAACTTGAGGTAGGGCTATAGGTT